GCGAAATCACCCCGACTGGTTTATTCTGCAGGAAATTCATTGCTATTAAATATTCATGAGCACATATTATAATGAGGTGGGCACAGAAATACGTGCATAATGAGGTCAACCTGGTAAAGGTCACACTGCAGACCCAACATGGCGGCACGTTGAAATTCGAGTTTGTTGTAGTCGTCGTTTCTAATTCATCACAATGTGTAAAAAAGTAACTCGTACTGTCGTAGAATTAAAAAAAAAACGACTGCTACAATCAGCCGACGCCTTCTCGGTCAGAGGTCAGTTGAAGAGACGTTGTGATTGGCTTAGATGATTGTCAATTAGAACACTCATTAACATAATTACCCGTTGAAAAATCGACGGGTTCCTGTAGTGTCGATAGAGGGCCATGCAGAATAAACCAGTCGGGGTGATTTCGCAGTTACAGGGGATTTTGCGCTAACACCTCCATTTTGCAAAATTTTTTATTTTATTTAAACTACAAAAACAAATTAATCGCCCTGACTGCGCCAGTCTACATTATAGTGAACATTTCACTATAACGAAATAATTGTATGTCCCCCAAAGAGTTCGTTATAACGAGGCTAAAGGGTATTTTTATATCAACTATTATAAATTTTTATATTTTTAAATGAGCTACCCCAACTTTGAGTACAAATTTCTTGGCAATGAAAAAAGATATCAAAAAAACAAACACTCAAGCTGAGTAGAATGTCCAGAGTTGTTGCCACCTTACTAGAATAGAGGTGTGACCTGCCTGCTAAGTTGGAACCAACTCTGCCCAGCCAAAAAAATCATGCAAGAGTTAATATGTGAAGAGTACAAATAGACACACACATAAAAGCGATTATAAAGACATTCCTAGTAGAGTGGATCTCTAGTAAAGTATCTCCTTGTATATATTTTTTGTCAGGTGACTTCCAGACAATTGTAACCCGCTCCATTACTTTTCATCTTTGTCTGTGCTAACCAAACTGTCTGTATATTTTGTCCAAGACTACAATACTTTCTAATAATTTATTGTTTATGTTTCAAAGAATTCAGAAACAGCATAATGTGATTTTTTAAGATAAAAAAAAATATATATATTCACAAATTTATATAAGTTTTTAATAACCCAATATAACTTTTCACATAATAGTTTTACGTATATGTGCAGTAGTGATAGTATGTATCAAGTTACTATGACAACCATGACGCCTTCATCCTTTCATAATATGAATTGTAGAGATAGGTTGGAATGACAACGAAATAACACTTGACTGTGAATAAAATATTTAAAAAACTATAAAGGAAATATAGCAAAAATAAATGAAAAGTTGAAAGTATTGTGTGCATACTCATTAAAAACGGCTTGTATCACATGACCAAAACACTAAAATCTATAC